ACACACACACACACACACACACACACACACACACTCCCCGCTCATGGAAAAGGCTCGGCTCTGTGAAGTCGACGCAAGCCCCACAGGCTCTGTGACCCTGAGACTCTCAGAAATCACCATGGGACCAGCAGGTCGCAACTCGAGGGGCTGCCCCTCACACTTGTCACCAGCACCACTGCTTCCCTAGAGTCCCCAGAGGTCAAGAGAAAACTCCACAGGGACAGAAGTTGTGGCTTTGACCTCAGAAATCACAAGAGCTCTGTATGTGGGGATGGGAGGACCAAAGGGCATTGGGAGAGGCTCCCCACAGGGAGCCCTCTGGATTGGTGCATCCCGGGGACTGTGCCCCTGTTCTGCCAAGCGACTCAAAGGGTCTCCTGGGGCATCATGACCCCACTCGGGGCCTCAGTTCACCTATCTGTGAAATGTTGGACTGGATGAGTAATCACCAATTATTATCACCATTATCCTGATTACTGTTGGGCTCAAGATCCCATTCTTCAAATGAAACCCCTTGTAGAGCCTCAGTAAGAAAAAAAGATCTGATTGAAAATGGAGTTTAGGGGCCCATGTCCCTTTTCTCCCCCTTGTTCTGAAGACCCCTACGGCTCTTGAGAATTGTTTAAAAACTGCTAGGCTAGCTGAGCTCCCGGTCCATGCAGCTGAACACTGGAAACTGCCCTCATGGAAACCCTCCAGGACTCCAAATGACCCAACTCCAGCCACTGTGACCTCAGAACGACAGGAAGCACACATAATCGGACTCTGGGAACCCCAACGTGAAATAACTCCGTTCACATTGTGAACAGAACACGATTATTCTATTGCTCAGACTGTGCCATCCCTGGCTGTTTGAGTTCTGAATCCTGCTCTCCCACTCCCCAATCTGCCTTCCCAGTGAGTTCAGAATCACCTAGAATCCCAAGTTAAGTGGCAAATCTAGGATAGTCAACTCCACACCTAACTTTAGATGAATACAAATCCTTCTCTAAGACTCTGACACATGGGAAATGTCATCATCCCTGTCACTTGAGTATGTATTAAAATGATGGTCCATTACTGTTACCCCATTATGCAGCTGAGGAAAACAGACTCAGGGTCACCAAGAAGTGGAGCTGGGATTTTGGCGGGGGGGGGCGGAGGTTAGCCAGTGCTCACGGACAGGCAGTGGGTGCTAAAAGATCGCTTGTCTGAGCCCATCTCATCTCTGAGGATGACAACAGTACTGTCCTTGGTTGCTGGAGTGATTAAATGAGATAGTCCAAGTAAAAACCCTCAGCATAGCCCAGACGTGTGTGGTAACTTAATAAAGGTTGGCTCCAAATACTTGAGTTATAAACCCTGCTTCCTAAAACCACCAGACACCAGACAGTCTTCCATAGGAAATAGGATTTATTTTCACATTTCAAGTGAACACAAAATAAATGTCCCACAAGTGTATTATATACAAAATCAGTAGATATATTAAACGCAGAAAAATCAAAGCCCTCCAGAAAAGACATGTTTACTTTCTTCCAGAGCACGTTCGGGCCATTTCCATTTTTCACCAATTCACGGACTAGGCACAGTAGGCAGTGGGTTTGTTCCCAGGTTCGTCTGCTTCTACCCCCATGGACTCTTCCTCAAAAACCCCAGCAGCAAACCAACAGGATTCACAGTGGCCGGGGGTAAATGCCGTGGCCTAGGACCCTGCACAAAAGCCCCGACTACGTTCCAAAGGCCAAGCTCTGGGGTTCTGTGGCTTTGGCCACCAACTGGGGTCCTGCCACGGCACGGAGTAGTTAAGTGTCACAGCTTCATCTCTCGGCAATCTTGTTAATCAAATATTCCAATTAGAAGAGGTCAGTACATAGATATAATGGCCCTTTTGCGGCTGGCTTTCCCCCCGCAGCTGAGGAAAAGGCAGAAACCTGTCCCCGAAGCTAAGCCATCACCACCCCCCGAAGTCCAAGGCACGGGTGAACTTGGGCTGGGGGATCACAGAGAAGGCCTGATGAGGAGTGGTGACATCACGTCCGTGATACTCATCCCAGAAATGGGGCGGTGAGGGAGGGCGGACACTGGGGAAGCAGCGTGGCAGGCCCGGTGGAGATCGGTCGTTCTGCAGAGGCCTTCCTCCAGCACACAGTGATGGTGGTATGAGCACAGGCAACCGACGGGGCATCATTGCTGGCGTCCGACGTGGCCGCCTCGGTGTGTCAACACGTGGGCGGCCACTACCGGCCTAGCGCCCTGTGGCCGAGGCCCATTAGCTCAACTGGCCACAGTCTGTAATGACGATCTTCCTGGACGTCTTCCCACTCCTGGAACCGAAAGATTCGATTTTCTTCACGACATCCATGCCTTCTTTGACATGGCCAAACACGACATGCTTGCCATCCAACCTGTGAGTTGAGCCAGGTAAGAATAAGAGTAGTGCAATGTCACCCAATGTCACGGTCACCTGGTCATGGAACTATTTATCGGAGACAGGGATTCTGGAAGGGACCCACTCTGAAAGTCTGGAACCACCCCTCACGGCTCTGGTATCAAGCCTTGCGGAGCTCCCCCAAATACACCAGAGGGTCCCTCCCTTCTGGGGCACGTGCTGCCTCCCCTGCCATGTGACCTTGCCCCTGGGCCACTTTACCTGAATCCTGGTAACCTCAGCTACGGAAAGTGAATTATTCTTGTTCTGCACAGGGAATTAACAGGGTATCCAACTACTCTCAAGAAATAAGAGGTCCGTGTAAATAGAACCATCTTAATGGTCATGAGTGGCAAGGTCAAAGCCAAGATAGCAAGCGTGGCTCTCCATTTGAGAGAGTTCCAAGAATCCAAAAGGCAGCTTAGTCCAGCGGCAGCAAGGTCAACACTGCTTACAGCCAAGGGCAGCGCTGCAGGGTCTGCTGGGGGCTCCGCGGAAGGAGCAAAGAACAGGTGGAGCCAGCAACGGGCTGCCTGCGCCCTGACAGCTCTGCGTCCCCTCCGGCTTGGTGGCCAGAGACAGCTGGTGTCCCCCTACCCCTCAGGTCTCCCTGAGGTCCTAGGAAATGGGCTTTATTAAAGAATTAGCTCTTGGCCAGCTATTGTCCCCGCAACCCCATATGCCTCAGGGCTAGGACACAGGGGACTCTGGGCAGAGGAACTTATTAGGTGGTGGGACCCACAGGCACGTGGGCAAGAGGCCTCCAAGGTGCGTTCCAAGGTCGAGGTAAGCCGGGAAACAACAGTTTAAACCAAGCAAACAGGCTGCCTCCACAGGCCATCTTGAGGCCTGGTAGGTTCTGCAGCACGTCCCAAACGTATGTGGTCAAAGTCCTTTTGCACAACACATGGAGAAAATTCCAGCTGACAGCAAATGGAAGCCTAACACAGACACAGTTCTAAGAACAACCCACATTCTCCCTCAGTCCTTTTACAAACTTGGTCCTCCTCCCGCACGGACACACAGCCCGGCTGAGGGTTCCCGCCCCGGAGCACAGCGCAGCCTCACACTGCCTTCCCCCGGAAGCACACAAACACTCCTCTGGCTGCCAGGCCCCCCCTCGTGCCCAGGGGGCCTGGAGCCCGGAGCGGGGGACTCACCAGTCTGTCTTTATGGTGCAGATGAAGAACTGGGAGCCGTTGGTGTTGGGGCCTGCATTTGCCATGGACAGGACACCTGCAGAAACATGCAGGAGGGAGCCATAAGCTACTGACAAGAGCGACCGCTTCCCCTGTAACAAGGCCACTGGGGTCTGACGGTCTTGGAGTTTGAAGAGGACGAGCGGCTCCCCGGGGCCTGCCCACCAGTGCTGCCCCAGGGAGGAGAGGGCCTTGTGGAAGCTCTCCGTGGCAGGGCCAGAGTGGGACTTTGGCACCCTGCATCTTGGGTCTTAAACGTGACACAACGCTGGGTTTTGCTGAAAGGCTTTCTCTCCCAGCTTCTCAAAGGAAGGCTTGTTCTTTAAATGGAGAGCTCAGCATGACAAAGCTCCAGGAAACCCAACACTCCAACCCGGAGTGCTGAAGGAGGGAACGGGCATCACTGGATATCGAGCAATCGGTCCCAGCCTTCCAGGCGTGGTGGGCATGGTGGGCATGGTAGCGTCCGGGCTGGAGCTCAGGGCATTCAGACCGGGGAATGGCGGCCCCCACTCACCTGGTCCCACGTGCTTCAGTGTGAAGTTCTCATCAGGAAAGCGGCTTCCGTAGATGGACTTGCCCCCGGTGCCATTGTGGTTGGTGAAGTCGCCGGCCTGTGAGCACAGAGTACTTTCTGAGCAGCTGCCCCCCAGAGCTGGCAGGGGGAGGCTGCCAGGGCGAGGTGGCCCCCAACCCACCTGGGGCCCACCCAGCCAGAAGCCCTGCAGACCAAGGGGTCAGAAAACATCCAAGGTTGTCCGGACTCATAAAATAACAAGGAAAATAAGCAAAAATAAAGCTTCAATATTTTCTGCCATTAATAACTACCCTACCTTTCACATGATACACTTTTTTTTTTAATCTGGGCAAGTTTTTTAAATGATTCTCAAAGGATCTAATGGCTATTCTGAGACGATTAGTAGGTAGTGACCTAGAATTTTCTACCCACAACTCTTGGAGGGGAGACAGGGAGGTGGCCAGGGGAGGGTCCCTGTGCCCATGTCTGGTCTGTCGGGGAGCAGCACAGAGCCAGTTCCCTATGCTGAGCCCCACTCCCTGCCAGGCACTTCCCCCCTCACCAGGCTCGGTGGCCTCCCTACGCCTTGCAGACCCAGGACGGAGTCCCCCCAGGCCCAGTATCCTGCCTCACAGCTTGCCCAAGGTTTCCAAGGGAGCAGTGGCCAGAAGAACCCAGTGGCTGTCAGCCCCAGCCCCAGCCCCTGGCCAAGGTGTCATGGCTGTCTTCCTGAGATATGATCCTCAGGTGATAGGGATGACCCGACCAGCCTGACCTAAGCACCCACAAATACCAGCAGGGTGTCCCCAGACAGGGATGATTCAAAACCCTGGCCTGGGCCTCCCGGTGCTGCCAACTCATGCCTCAGAGAGCCCTCCAGCGTTGGAAGGACCCGCCCCTGCCCAATGCTGCTCAGAGGAAGACTCTAGCCTGGCTCAGGACCGCCCCTCCAGCTCCTGCATCATCCACAGCCTCCCTCGGGCAGAGCTGGGAGGGCCTCTGTGGCAGAAAGCCACAGGCTTGGCCAGGCCTGTCCCATGGCCACAGCCTCCCTCCCTGTCCCTGCAGTCACCACATTCGACACGTCAGCAGGCCCGGCCCCCACCCACTGCTACTCACCACAATAGGATGACAGCCCCAGGTCGGACTGGAGGGAATGGGGGAGAGAATTCTGGGCTGGAAGGACTTCAAAGAGGTCATGACACTCATGCCCCTGCCTCTACGGTCTGTGAGCCTCAAGACTCTAACCCCTGTCTTAGCAGGGTCTGACCTAACAGAGGGTGACCCCCACACAGCTAGAGTCTCGACGCCTGGGGAAGTTCCTGCTGTCCACATCTATCCCCAAACTTCTGATACAGTCTTACTGATGTTTTTGGAAAAATAGGCAACACACATGACTAAAGAACATTCATTTAACCAAGGAAGATGCCCCGCTCTAGAAGAAGCTCCGAGTCCAGACTTGTGCGTTCTTGTCAGTGTTGTCTCCCTCCCTCCCCATCTCCCACACCAAGCGCGCCAAGTGTTCAGTGGGACACACAAGGGGACTTGGTCAGAGACAGCCTGAGCACGCTGGTCCTCCAAAGCCTGAAGATCTACTCCCCGCCCCCGTGCACATCCAGATCTCAATGCCGGTCCCCCCCAACAGGCTCCACCAGCCAGTCCATCCTGCCACTGCCCTGTTGCTCAAGGGCCAGGGCCGCCCAACCCGCTCCACCGTCTCTGGGTGAGAAGACAGGCCCACAGAGTAATCTGTCGCTCTCCCTTCGGTATCTCATTAATCCTCATAACCACCCTACAAGGTGGCCCCTGTTATCACCCCCCTCACAGACAGGGAACCGAGGCAGACAGGGCCACAATACCTGACACATGAAGGATGGAATCACTCTGTGGAAGGTCGAGCCTTTGTAGCCGAAGCCCTTCTCCCCGGTACACAGGGCTCTGAAGTTCTCTGAGGGTTGAGGGAAGAGGCAGGTCAACAGGGCCGGGCCGCAACTCCAGGGTCATCACTCGTTCTAGCCAGCACCCTTCTACCCCCGAGGAGGTGGAACAGGGGGTGAACAGACCCCAGGCCCGCTCCCTGGGTCTGCTCTGGCTGTGCGACCCGGGGCAAGTCACCTCCTTCTTACAGCTCAGTGTCCCAGTGTCCAAGCACTGTGACAAGAGCACACGTTCCCGGCAGGGAGTCCCTGGGCCATGTAGCCACTGCCCCATCGGGCACCAGCGGGGAGGAAGTGGTCCTGGTGGAAATTTACACGTGCTTCTACTGATTCTAAGGCTATACTGGCCTGGTGGGCAGGGCCAACACCGAGGCTCAGAGAGGGACAGAAAGCTGGCCCAGGGTACCCGGCAGCTGAGCCTCATGTGGAACTGCCACTTGGTCATGGGTCTCTGTGCCCCGACTCCTCCCACCATCCCACCCACCTGGCCTGGCCCCTCTGTCTTCCATCTGGACCAGACTCAGAAGGCCCCAAGCCCCGGCTTACCTGCTGTCTTTGGGACGACATCTGCCTTCAGCTGTGGGGCGAGAAGAGCGACAAGAGAAGATGGTCAGTCCAGAGGCAGGTGACGGAGGGAACCTCACCACCCAACCCCCACAGCGGCCAAGGAGCCCCTTCCACGCCGGTGGCTCCCAGAGGCAGCCTAGGGAGCTATCATCTCTGCTAGTTGTTTCCTGAAACCAGGCTGGGAGGAGGCAGCCTCGGTTTCCCTACCCATCGGAAGAGGACAGTGCCACCCTGGCCTACTTCCAGGGGCAAAACTGGCAGAGTTACTACAGCTGGGCCCCAAGCATCAGAGACTTAGGGCCCGGAGGGACGCCAGTCCAAGCTCAATGCGCAGAGGGGAAACAGGCTTAGAGAGGCGGGGGTGGGGGGTAACAGGAGGCCAGAGCACCATCCAAGCAGGCCTCTTGCCTCCAAGCTTCAAGAACCACCCTAGCGCCGAACCACCAAAATAAACGGGAGAAGGAGGGTGGTCTCCATTTTCCAGAAGAGGAAACTGAGGACTAACAGAGGTCTCTCTGTTCAAAAAGGGGTCGGGCTTGAGGGCTACACCTGAGCTTCCCCCCCTCCCCCGTTTGTTCCCCCTATTTGTTTCTTACTTTGTGAGTCCCGGAGCGTGGTGGGGTTGGAGTTGGGGTCCTGGGTCAGCCCGGAGGGCCCTGCACCAGAGGAGGCCGGCTGGCCTGCCAGAAACCACCAGCGCCCGGGAGGAGCGTGAGTCCCACGGAGGGGGCGGGGCCGGGCCGGCTCCGCATTATGCAAGGGCCGCCACGTGAGCGCACCCCGCCGGCCCGCTGCCTGGAACCCCGACACCCACCCGGGAGTTCCGGGTCTGGGTGCTGACCCCGCGAGGTCTCAGCACCTCTCTCCGACCCCGGGGCCAGCCAGCAGGGCCGGGCTCTCACAGTCGACGACTTGACCTTGAGCTCTTTCCTCCACACTTGCCCTCCCACCCGCCTCCAAAGTGCCGAGAGGACACCGGAAGAGACCAATCTGATGCGCCCTTCTAGGGATGGGGAAACTGAGGCCCATGGCCAGGTGTCGGGGGCAAGGTCACCCAGCGAGTTGGGCACAGCGCCGGGCGCGTCCCCCCACGCCCAGTCCGGCGCGGCCGGGTGCAGTGCGCTCACCTCCAGCACCACGCGGCCGAGCGGCTGCCCGTCGGCGCCCACGTCCAGGTACACGAGCGGGTTCCGGGAAGAAGAGGACGAGTCCCGGGAGCCACCGCCGCCGCTGCTGCTGGAGGCGCGGAGCGCGGGGAGGCGCAGCGGCGCGGAGCGCGGGACCGGGAGCCGGCCGAGCAGGCGGGGTCCGCAGCGCAGCGCCAGCATTGCGGCGGCAGGACGGGGTGGGAGAGCGGCGGTAGGAGCCGAGACGCCGGAAGCGACGGTTGAGCGCGCGCAGAGGGCGAAGTCCGTCGCGACCGCGCGCCGCCGCCTTTATTGGCCGGGCCGGCCTCGAGGCCCCGCCCCCGCCTTCCCCCTCCGGGCCCGTTCGCGGGCGTCCCCTGGCGGCCCCAGCGGGCGGCGCAGCCAGGAGGCTGGGGCGACGGAGCGTGAGCTCCTTTCAATGGGCTTCCCAAGGACTAGAGACCGGAGGGACAGACACGACCTGGCCAAGGGGGGCCGGTTCCATTTTGTAAGGGTCCCAGATTAAAAAAAGAGAGAAGGAAATGTGCTAAAACGTGGTTAACTCCAAAATATGAGCATCCATATGTTTGTTTTTGTTTTTTTTTTAAAGATTTTATTTATTCATTAGAGAGAGAGAGAGAGCATGAGCAGGTGGAGAGGCAGAGGGAGAGGGAGAAGCAGGCTCCCCGCCGAGCTAGGAGCCTGATGCGGGACTCGATCCCAGGACCTCGGGATCATGACCCAAGCCGAAGGCAGATGCTTAACCATCTGAGCCACCCAGGTGCCCCCATCCATATGTTTTTATTTGAATATAACAAAAATTTACGTTTCAGCCCTCTGTATAGGCCTCGCCTCCACCCCCAGGCCCTGCCCACGGAGAGACCAAGAGAGACGGTGGGTGAGAAACAAAGAAGGCGGAGGTGAGAGGTGGATGAAAGTGAGAGGTGCAGGAGGATGCGGGCAGAGACCACTCCCCTGCTGGCCACAGGCCTCCTAGTCCCAGTCTGGTCCTTCCTCCAGGTGCTTCTGGACACCAGATCCTCTTCCCACACGACTGGAACTCGGCAGGTGCCCAGCAGGCTCTGGCCAGACCCCAGCCCTCCACCAGGGTTGGGGCTGATGCCCCTTCCCCAACCCCATAGACTAACAGGCCTCGTCCCTAGCAACGGGGTCAGCTGACTGCTGGCTCCCCTCCCACAGCAGTCACCCCAAAAACGTACCTGCAGGTAACAGTACGGGGGCCATTCCATAGGGAACACAAGGAAGGGTGAAACGGTAAAGACAGGGAGAGAAGGGGAACTGAGAACCCCGGTGAGGAGGATTTACCCCCCATACTGAGGGGGCTTCATACACGTGTGGTAGGTGTGGGGGGTCCACAGTAAGTAAATAATAGGGGCCCTGGCAGGGCATCTCAGCTAACACCTGCACTCTCCAGATGGGAAACAAGGACCCAGAGTGAGGAAGGCGCCGCTCAGGGCTAGGAGCACCCTGCATCTTCCACTGCCAGCCTGCGCCAGTCTTCTCAGACCTCTCTGAGCCTCAGTTTCCCCTCTGGAGAATAAGGATGTGATGGTAGTCCTTACCCTGCTTCTTCCCAGGTCTGTTTCAAGGGTAAAATGAACAAGAGAGAGAGGCGTGTGTCAACCGTTAAGCACTGTGCTATGAGTATCGGTGATGGATGGGGTCTAGACTGTCTTCGCTTCAGGTCTAGGGCTCAGACAGGAGTGGGTCTCAGCTGCAGGGGTTCAGAGGTCCAAGGGGCTCAAGAGGAAGGTATGGGCTGAACCTTGGAGTCAAGTGGGCTTGAGCTGAGACCTGAATCAGCTCCTGGGAAGGGGTCAGACAGCAAAATGCTGGCCCGAGTAAATTCATGAGGTTAAAGCAGCGTGTCCTAGGCTCATTAGAATTCTGGCTTGCCCCTTTTCTGGAAGTTTACAGTCCCCTTCTCTATTCCTGGCCCAGGAGGAGCCTGGTCACTCAGTGATGCTCCAGCTGCATCCTGGAGCCCAGAGGTTCCCCAGGGTCCAGCCCAAGAGGGAGCCTCACTCTGTCCTGGGGAATGTCTCCTCCTTTCTCATGATTTTGTGCCCTGACGTGGAACGGGCCTGAGTGGTGAGCCAGCTTGCTCCCTGCCCCATCCGGGCCCTGAGCAGTCTCCCAGATCCCCCTGCGTCAGTGAATACTGTAGATTTGAAAGAGGAAGAGAGGAATCACCCCCCATGTCAGTTCCAGGTCCTCAGCTCACACAGCCCTTCGCTATGCCAGGTGGATTAGTGGTACCCTATTGTCCTTCAAGCCTGCTCCTCGGGACCTCTGTATATCCCCTACCCCAGCGAAGCCTGAGCAGCCCTAACCCAGGGAGGAGCTGCCTTTATTCACTCAACCCTTTAGTTCTCAGAGCCCTTCCCCAGCCCTTAGTATGTCTGCTTCCCCCCATAGCCTGGGAGGCAGTTCCATTTTGCAGATGGGGAAGGAAAGCCCCAAGAGACAGGAGAGTGAGTTGCCCAGGGCTAGAGTGTTGGAGCTGGGAGGACTCTGTCTGACTCCAGGGCCAGGAAGTCCTGCAGAGGCCAGACCCCTCCCACTGCCATCATGGAGCTTGGAATGGGGTGGGGAGGGCAAGAGAGAGAAGCCGGGGACAGACAACACAGCAAGAGAGGAACTGAGGAGTTAGCCAGAGGAGGCTGTGGGACTGGGACAGGGAAGATGGCTTCTGCCTGGAGGATCAGCCTAGACACAGCCACATTTGAGGGGCAGAGACACAAAGATGTGGAGAGGAGATTCCGGGGGGGGGTGGGAATGAGCCAGAGGCAGGCCGGGGTACCTTCAAGGAAAGGCTGCAATGTTGACCATAAGCTGAAGGGCTGGGGTGTGGGTAGGGGGCAATCAGAGGGTCCTGAAGGCCAGGCTGAGGTCTAACATTATTGGATAGCACCGGGGAGCCATTGATGGTGCAGTACCCCATCCCCGGGACCCCAGACTGAGAACTGGCCTCATTCACTCATGTTGCTCCTACCCTCTTTGGAAAATCAAATGTCATCACTACCTCTTGCCCAAGCCAGAGAGGCTGAGCTGTGAAGTCATCCCTACTTGTACTGTCTGTCCTCAGTGGCATCAGGAAGAGGGACAGTCCCTGGGCTGAGCTCTGAACGGAAACATGCCCCGCCCTCGAAGACTCCCGGCCCAGGTGAGATTGGGCAGGTGTCAGCACTCACCTGGCTCTGAGGCTATTTATATAGACTCTGTGTCATCCTTAGAAACAGCAGTTTCGCTCCTCTCAGCTGAAGTGGCTTCTCATCCAGGGTGTTAATGGTTTTTGTCACCTGGGGATCCCGTAGGATTCCTTTAGGTATCATAGAGCCAAAGAATAGACAGGTCATGCTGACATTCAGGGGTGACAAATTCAGATGCCTATGGGGGCCAGGCAGTGACATATACAAGTGAAGCATACTGGGCAAGGCTCTAGGGAGTGAGGGGAGGCAGCACTGTGTCCAAACACCCCCGTTAAAGGGGTAGCTGCTGCCCAGGCCAGCCAATTGTGTATGTGAGACTAGGGACCCAGTATACAGTATAGCCAGATCTTCTCATTTTTCAACAAAAGCTGAAAACCTTAGGTTTTATGGAAATCTCCCTATTTTAAAATGTTGGGAATGAATTTTAAAATAAAATTAAACACTGAATGAGCCATAAACAATACATCCACAATGTAGATGGGACCTCTGGGCCAGTAGTGTGCAAGTTCTGATCTCCACTATACAGATGAGAGAACTGAAGCTCAGAGAGGGACAGGGACCTGCCCATGGTTACACAGCCCGGAAGTACTGGGACTGCGGACAAACCCCTCTATTCACTGTTGCCAGGACCCTTTCTGCAAGACTGACTCAGCAGCCATGTTTTCAGAGCACCTGTTATATGTCAGGCCTGAGCTTTGCCCTGGAGATACAGGACAAAGGGCAGGACAGGCACTTATGGTGCCATGTGGTTATAAGTGCTACTGAGCAAGCCTCTCCCAGGCAGACCCGTGTGCGTGCCAGGGGTGAATATTGTGGCTGTTGTGAGGGATGAAGTTACGGTGGTCCTGGAGACCCTTCCAGGAGGGGCTGGGAGGGAAGTGGCCCTGCTGTGGACAAGCGGTGGATTTTCGTGAATGATCATTGCCATTATCAGTCACGGTGTCCCCGTGACTGATGTGCCTTGGACTTGGTCTCTCTTGGTTCTGTTGGGGAGGGGGGGAAGTCCAGGTGAGTATCTGTCATGGGCGCTGACAGGGAGCCCGGAAGAGAAGTCCTTGGCTGAGAGCTCAGAAAGCGAGCCAGACCCCGCTCACGGGCCCCTGGGATGGCCGCACTCTGGGGCACTCCCCGTGCCATTCCCAGCCTTCATAGAGCAGCACGAAAGCATCAGCATCCCTCTGCTGGCTTCCAGGAACCACAGGTGGCTCTGTTCCCGAGCATGCTGCGAACCAGAACATGATGGGAAGCAGGGAGAGGCCCGCAGGGGAGGTTTCCCTCAAGGCCCAAGCGGGTGGTAGACACTGTGCCCAGAGAGAGGCCCAAGAGGATGGTCTGGGAAAACTCACCTTTCCAGAGTCCAGCTGGGCTTTAAAAGTTGGGTGTGTGGGTGCTGTGGGTCCCTGGGAGAAGCAGCCAGTGGGCTGGGCAGGCCCCCCGCCCCCACCTCTCCAGCTGCTCAGCTCTCCCGCAAGCCACCTGGTCACAGAAGAGGGTGGAGGAAGCTGACTTGCTGAATGTATCTGCTAGCCACCATGATGTGGGTGGTCCCTGGGGGCCAGGAAGTCTTCCTGAGAAGCTGCCCCCAAAGGGAAAAGTTGGGAAGGACCGTGGAGGCAGGCCCTGGGGGAAGGGGTGACTGTAAAACAGCCCCGGCTCCTGAAAGTGTGGGTTTTGAGACAGGAGAACGCTGCTGGAAACCTGGCTTCCCATTTCATTCATTCACTCCCTAGGTTTGCTCGGCCGCCTCTCCAGGGATTCGAAATAAGGGTGGTCATTGAACAGAAAAGTAAACTTATTTCACTGGGAAGAGAGAGAACAACAATAAAAAAAGCAAAGGAGAAGGAAGATGCTCTTGGATGGTGGTATGTGCTGCGCACGAGTGAAGCAAGGTGCTGCGCTTGGCAGGGGCTGGGGGCGGAACTACATTATGAGAGGGGCCAGCGTGGCCTGACCCAGGAGGACACATGGCGACCAAATCACATGTAGCTGTGTGAGCTCAGGGAGGTCAGTTTTGGCTTCTTGGAGGCTCACTGTCCTCATCTGTAA